TCCCTGCGGCGAGACATCTTGGTGTCCAGGATTCAACTACTCATTGCCGTGCTCCAGCGAGGAAGGTAAAATGCACGAACTTTTATGGCAGCATCAGCGCAAAACATCGGAAGATGCCACCTACATCCTTGAGATTCTTTTGAAGAAGTATTGTCTCCTGAGACGCGATCTTTACGTTTATTGCGCTCATTGATATTTACCACTTATGCAATTACCAAAAAGTGGCGTGCATGTGGTGAAAGGACGAGAGCGGGTTGGACAGGTGGGCATTCTGACAGCCAGTGAGCGGCAACAAGAAATCCATGAAAATACACTGTTTTAGTCCAGGTAGATGCTTAGTACCATGAACATGGCATTTAGCGGCTGAAAATGTAGTAATGTGGCCTTATGCCCAAGGGCGCGCTCTCATGCCCAGAGGTCATTATGAGTCTATATGGGCAAAAGTACGCTTAGGATGATAAAAAGCTAGCCTGCTGCAGAATATGCACACTCAAATTCTACTGAATACCAAAGATTACAATACTCAGTGGGGAACGCGACTAAGTTGTGAACATCCACCGGCAGTTTCTAAAGCAAACAGCAATTTTGAAATCTACATGGAACAAGCTGCAAACAAGTACATGTGGCACAATGCGCATTGTGCCGCATGTCCCCCTTTGCAACTCCTTCAGATTCTTGCATGCAAGAAAGCCAGCGGTCCCATTGGAAAATGTCTGTCTCATATTTTATCAGGCTGAGAGGATGTTCCCACTGTGCGCCGCCAGTCAGTGGCTGCGAGCAGCTTCCGCCGCAGCACGAGAAGTGCGAGGATTGGTCTGTAGCCACTGGCGGCGTCGCATGCCGCCCCCACAGACGGCAATGCTGCAGGCTTGACGATGACTGCGGGGCGGGGTCTGCCTGCGTGGACGTCGGTCCTGGCAGCACTATGTGCATCGACTGCATAGGTGTGCCGCCGCAGCTGAGGTTCCGGCAATTTGAATTGAGGTGAAATGAATAATAGCTGGCCTTTATCTGCACGAAGTTTTGCACCACGTGAGCTTGTGGGACCCACAATTCTGCACAGCAAGTGTCCTCCCGAGTGTTGTGCTGCTCATCATTAGTAGAAGTGCGGAACAGATGCGCAAACATGATCGCAATTTGACAAGTAACTGCACATGACAAGGAGACAACGAAGTTAGTGTTCCACGTGAAGCTGGTAACACGCATATGCAGTCATGCGTGCCGGGCACAAAATCTCATTGGAATATGGCCCTTGTAACGAGCTCCACTTCAAAGCCAACACCTCAAAATAATGAACGCATTTACTAAAAGGAACAAAGAAACGCATGGTAATTCCGATATTATGCGATTGTGCAGGCAACACAGCTTTCGGGGGCTGTGGCAATCCTCCCCTCGACACTGAAGCATTGTCGCCAAGGCCCGCTGGTCACCGCAATGCCACTTCCAGCCCGTACACGCGCGACGTTGCCAGCTCTCCCCCAGTCCCTCCGTTCACGGAGCCCGTTGCACCAGCAGAGGCGGGTGACTTGGAGATTCGCGTGCAGAGCGTGACGCAGGACCCGGGAGCGAGTCAACAAGGCACGTGCTGCACACAAAATTGATATCCACTATGATAATTATTTGATGTTCCCAGACTGATATCTAGGTTTTGCAATCTGATTTATATCGACACGCAAAAGCACGTCATGCCACAAGATAGTACATTCAATCGCCCACATCTGTGCAGTAAACGTTGACAGCATGGCCCGGAAAGTGCAGCTTCTCAGGCGCATAATCAGTGCGTTTTCAAGTTAATCAAATTTCTACTTTAGCAATCCCAAGCAATACCGTAGTTTCCACAGTGCCGATTTGCTGTACAGAAATGCACCACGGGGCGATTGTAGTTGTAGGCAGGGATGCGATTGTGGCCATCGCACCGAGTGAGAATGTATATTATGAATCAGCATTGCTTCAAGTCAAGATGCATAATAGCGTGGAAGAGAATCAGGTCCTTTTGAGGGTCCATTTACAACATGGCTGCACTTCCGTACTGCCGCAATGCCCTAATTCATACATTCAATTTCACACCGCCATTAGCAGCGTCAGGTGAACTAGCAAGTCTGGCATCAAATCGTTCCGCTTGGTCAAGTTTCCAGTTCCTAAAAAGATACAGTTCAGTGGAAGTGCAAGAGCAATGCAAGCCATGAAATTATCCGACAACGCAAGCGGATCACATTGTCTGAAATACCGCTGTCGATGACTACTGCGCGCCACGTCTCAGATCCGGCAGTGTGTCGTCAATTGACACTCTGTATGTTGTACATTATGTAAAGTTCTGGCATGGTAGATATCGGGTGCGTCGGATGCTGAAACAATGCGCATTTCAAACGTTCCAGATGCGGCTGATCGCGATTGGTATGCGTGCGGTACGTGTCATCAATATGTCCATACCTTTGCTTGCTCCGTTGCAATTTTCAGGCAGGCACCATTGTATATATGAAACATCTGATATGAACATCCGTGAATACGGTATTCTTTCGAAATTTCATGCCAATGCTATGCCATAGATTCCAACAAATCATGGGCTCATCAGCGGGCTCCGTTTTTGTGCGTGTAAGATCGTCGAGTGATTCCATTCTTGCGGTGCAGTCGGGCGAGACGACACATTCTGCACAGAAGACTGGCAAAAGACTACCAGATGCCGGGTAGTGGTTGTATCGGGATTAGCTGTTCTATCCTGCGTAGGTATGGATCCAAACAATGGGACAGGCCCAAATAGGATTATGTACACATGCAAGGCTGTCTGAGCATACAACTGGGTGCCCTTTGATCTGAAGTTGAAACAGAAGACCAATCCAATCCAGACTTGTAACCGATTTCTTGGCAGCCAGGAAAGAGCTGCCGGCAGCGGACTACGCTGGCTGCTGGCCGACGAGGTGGTTAGGACATTGAATATAAACTTCATTCTAGGCAGTCACTTCAGGCGCGGTACATGCTCAACCTGTACTATGTTGTTGTGGTTTGCCCCGGCATTTCGTCAGGTGTCCAGAAGTGGATAGCATCCGCCGTTCAGTACCACCAGGTGGCAGGAATAGTCGCAATACATGCCTTGCCTTTACTCCACTGGGGCAAAAGCGGAGATTGTTCTCAGATGCATAAACTAGCCGTCCATATTGTGGTGAATTTCCACATATTAAGATTTACAATACAAACAGACTCAAACCTCAGAGTGACGAGCCATGAATCACAGCTAACATCAACTTCCACTCTGGGCATGACGGATACGCGTCTGTGCGTGTTTGAACAGCCGTGCTGATGTCGACCAAGGTATACTTGCAAATGAAGAGGACGCACAAACTCAACGGTGCATGTCACTTTCCAGAGGAAGAGACAACATACCTCCAACCATCCGAAGGACTTCCCGCTAGGTTCCTCTCCGAGCCATCTCCCGCCAATGCCGCCGTGGGATAGGCGAGCACCCAGCGGGTTCAGTACCGGGAACCAGATATGGCTCAGAGCAAACTTCTGCATTTGTCACTTCTAAATCGCTAAAAGGTCCTGACATACACCCGAGTTTGTGATTCAGGAATCCCGCATGTGCTCCCTTATGCGCCCGCGCAAAGCAGCCGCGGAGCAAACATGCAATGCCGCCCTGAACTGTATATTTGATGACTTAGAAAGCCGATTCCCACTTGTGAGGACTTGCGGCCATGAACTGCTCGCTTCGAACGCCCGCCTGTGGACATCGCTGTGCGCATTGCAACGAGGTGATATTTACTCGCTAACTGTGCTGCACCTCCTTTGGTTTGGACGTAAGCGGACCCCATTTTGCCCATTTTCGTATGTACTGTACTGTTCGAGTATCCGACAGGCGATTCTCACGAGACTAGCTTCTGGATCAAGGGACATTCGAAGCAGGCCACTGTCCAGCAACGCAGCAGGCAATACAAGCGTTGATACCTGTCGGGAGACTGGTCAGGTTAGAAACGCAACCAGGCAGGGCACAGGAGCATTCGATTGTCTTGACAAGCGCCACAATATCGGCCCAATGACGGCGCCTAATGCAGACTGCCCTGGACAGTGGCTGTCGCGTTCCTGAGAAACAATCGGTGCATTTGGGCGACAACAACGTTATGGAATTTACCCCGGGGGTGCCTTTCCCGCTGCCCCAGCATGCAGGGTATTCAAGGGCGAACTAAGTTAGCTACTGCATGCACGGGTGCAAGCTTCCGTTTAGTATGACATCAGTTTGCGGTAGGCCATTCAAAGGGCCGTGCTATGTTCGGGTAAGACCACAGTGCCACAGAGAGGTGGACTGTGCAAGTGCCGTGAGCGTGTGTGCGTGGATAAGAAGTAACGTATTGCATGGAAAGAATGCGCCGCGTGCATACCGTGACTGTCGCAGCGGGGGCCTATTCAGTTTCCAGTCAGGCTTGCATTTTATGTTCACGTTGACATTTTTATGCGCAAACACGTAAATTTGCGAAAGGGGCAAATTTTATGGCTATTTTTACGTTTTTACGGCTCGTTGGGACAGCCAGGTTACATGATGAAAGTTTGCATACAAATTCTACACATTCCAGCGTGTCTGACTGCCACTCCCCGAGCTCCCCAACTCTGTGTGCACTGTCCTTATGTACACGGGGCTGTACTTACGTTGTATTTACGTAGTTTCGCGCGGTTTTATGCGTAAGAACATAAAAACTGGCTTTACTCGTAGAAAGTAAATACAGTCAGTTTTCACGGCGTAAAAACCAAGCCTGATTCCAGTGGCAAAGCAATCTGACAATCTGTTATTCACCGTTAAGCATATCCCTTTCCAGCACAGGTCGACACATTGTTGCTGTGCGCACGACTCGTTAATGATTGAGCAACAGCCACCATGAACGAAAACCATGCCAGCCGACCACAACGTCTTGGATGCGAAATAGTTTCCTAATGCTCAGCCTGTATGTGAACCAATGAGCACACGACTTTCCGCTGCCCACAAAAAACTCTCCGTCCCAACATGCACCATCGGCTTATGCGGCCGAGACAAGGGGGGCATCGGGCTCTGAGTTGATGAATTGTTGCGGTATGTCAATTGGAGCATTCTGGCAAAGCTCGCAAGAGTTGTCAACTTTGAACAGCTCCCACTCCTTTATTCCGGCCTTGTCAAGGGCGGCGTGCAGGCGTGGCTTCTGCTCTTCAGGCGGCCACTGGCCATGAGATGAAACCAGCACAGCTCCTGGAATCAAGTGAAAGGCACACAGATGACAATTCCAGCCTCAGTCCCCAAAAATGATTGGATCTCATGGGGAGGCTGTGCATCGATGCACACTTGATGTCAAGTAATGACATCTGTCTTGCTACATCCAGATTCTTAGAGCAGTGGCCAGTGTCGGCCGTGCTCTGGTTGCGTTACCATGAGGCAGGCAGGAACGGCCGACGAAAATGGATTTCATGACCACCTTTAATGCCACGCAATGTTTAGGTTGGAGCCAGACAAGCCCTTGCATCATGCGATCATCTCAGCAATATATGGTCACACTGGGGAACCAAATCGCAGAACGCTCCAGGACAACGAGCAACCACAACAGCATTCTGGGAACCTGCCATTGCCAACCTGCATCCATGCGCTTTTCAGATACATGGCAGCAATAAACACGGCCTGCATCGGCCATTCGAATGTGTATTGTACATCAACATGGACATATGTCAATCATGGATGCATCAAGGCAGATATCGCGTCGTACTGCCCATTGTGGCAAGCGTCAATAAAACAACATAACAAGGATAAAACAATCCACGAACAGCCATGAATTGCATCAGCAGCGCGGCAGTGACATACACACACTACACATTACATGACGCACATTACCTGACATGACATTTCATATTGGCGCTCAGGACTCCCCCACAGGAACATTGTTTTTTTTCGAACATTCATGCTTTTCTCATCTCCTGATTATGATCCTGCATCGGCTTCTGCTGGAAAAGGATCTTTGCGTACTTTACGTTTTGTGGGGGAGCTCCTCTGTTTATCTTTTGATGTAATACATCGAAATTCAAGAAAAGACATACACCACCCACACCGCAATGAATATGTCCAGCAGAGTTGCCCAAACCAGGGTGTAGCCCCACCTGAATAGGACATCCCTGCGGCAGCTGCCGCCCCTGAGTAGAAAAACAGGCCCCAGGACAGGTCCTCTTCAACGTGCACAATCCTCCAAAACTCATTGGAAGTGACCCCGTTATCCAGCACGGAGAAGAAGAAGGTCCCTGGCTGCGCGCCCCTCTTCACGCGGTAGTGCCTGCGTCTCCACACCTGCCTTCCATCCAGCGTGGAGACCTTGAATATCGGGTCGTACCACATGGAATTTCTCGCCTTTCCACGGTAATACAGCTGGTATTGGCATGGGAAATTGTCGTACGCTGCGCTCCTGTGGGTACATAACAAACTAAGGTGAACTAACTCAGACGCTGGGACGCTGGCGCACGTTGTCTGAGGGGGCATAAGCTAGTGCAACCCGTGCATGCAGTTCATTGCCAATTCAGCGCTGGACGGGGCCCACCATCAGATTTGAGGTAGATGGGCTCGCGCTTGCACCACAGCATTGCAAAGTCCATGTTGTCTGGGGAAGGGTGGGAGACGTTAGGGTTGAGGTGATGCCTGACTCCAATGTTCCTCCCCTGACTATTTATTCCGCATTGATGAGCGCAAAAAACAACCAATACCAATTCACAAACGAATACACATCAATGCTAAACGTTTGCAATCATTTGAGTTGGTGCAACACGATGTTCATATGATGCAATACGTAATGCACCAGAAAGCAATGTATTTATGCAGTGTATGCAACTTCTTCGCCAAGGGATGAGCCTACTTTCCAGCGATGACCCTCCAGCTCCACTGCTCCTTTCCCAGCCAGCCAATGAAGATGTCTTCGGCCAATTCATGAGTCATGGCCTCTCCACGGAACGACTGCTGGGGTATGGGATTTGGCAGTGCCGGCATTTGGGCTGTGCATCCAAGGCAGTTGTGCTTCTGCAGGATGCACAGGGAGAACTGCTCCAGGAGGGGGGACTCGTAAGAAACAATGACACGGTAGCTGCACACCTAGGCACCACACCAAAGCCTCTGACGCGCACCATGGCTGTTGTGAGGCCCAAATTCGGATAGAAATGGTCCTCAAGCAATGCTATGGCTGTGTTCTGTTGCAGGGCATGTCACGGCGATCCACAGCTTCAGCAACTTAGACGATCTCGGCACAAACCATCCGCACACGATGCTGGCAGATTCCTTGCTGGCGTTGGACCCACGTCTGGGGAGAATTTTGCCGGAGTTGCAAAAGCATCCAGTCGCCTCCTAACATGTTGGATTGCCACTGCAGAGCTCATTGTGTTAAGATGGCACAGGATGCACCAGGCAAATGGGAAGTCACCCCAGTGCTAGGGCGATCCTACAAAAGTACTGTGTACAATAAGAGAACCTGGCGGTTAGCAAGTGATCTTTCGTTTTGATTCAACGGCATGCAGCTTGATATTCATAATTGCCACAGTGGTTTGGCAGAGCTAGAGGTATGCAGAAAAGGCTAGATGTGCCGGAAAAACCAAAGAGCACTTCCTAGTCATTTTTAAGTGGATGGCACATGCCCAATTCAGCAATGGAATTCTGCTTTGTGGTCATATTTGCTGACCAACCAGCAAGAGATAGCGACATGAAACAATCCAATTTTCACAAGCCATTTCACATGTTCCTGTTACAGAATGATGCACTGCTGGTGCACCGATCTGGCACTTGAACAGGGTCAAAACATTTGCTGACAATATGTTGCAAGTGAAAGCAGCGGGCGGGGCGCTATTAGGACACTGATGCAACAAATATCGCATTACAGACATTCTCCTGCGCAAAGTAAATGTGAGGCACTTTCGCAGGCAGCAGAAGATGGTGCAAAAGGCTTTGCGTGCAACATGAAATAATAGCAGAAACGTGACACACGGGAACCGCAGGCTGGAACTGCACAAGCTAAGAACAGAGAATAGAGGGGATGTATAGAAGAGGGGATTTTGTAGCCGGTGCAAGCAGGCTCACCTGGTCATTGGTTCCACATCTGTTCAGCGCCCCCAAGGCCTTGCGGCATGTGGGGTCCCTCAGGCAGTCCAGCACAGGCTTCCTGCAGTTCCTCACCATGCATCGCAGTGACGAAAACGTGAAGTCCAGCTTTGCCACCTCAGGAACGTTCTGCACATACTGGTCAATGAGCAGGAGCACCATGTACACCAGATCGTCAGATGTCTTCCTTTCCCACAACCCTGACACCGTACCATATATTCGCTTCCCTTTCCTGCACTTGGTGCCTGGGATCAGGGCAGCAAGCCTCTGCCGCTTGCTGGGCTGTAGGGGTTGGTAGGGGCCCAAGCGAGTAGCATCCTGGAGCTGTGGGCATGACTCGAACGGCACCAGCACTTGGGGTTCCTTTGCCGTAAGGAGGGCCTGTGTAGTGTTTGGGTCATGGACATCGATTGGGAGCAACAGAGCGCTGCGGGAGGCCCCTGGGGGCAGCTCAGCCTGTACGTCTGACTCGAGCAGGACAGTCGTGCAAAACTGAGGGTTTGCCCATCTGAGCCTTTGGCAGATGTGTGCCATCACTTCGTTCCATGGAGGACCAAAAGAGCTCTGACGTGTGGAGGTCACGACGGCGATCTCGACTGGTAACATACATTCCTGCTCAAGCAATCGCAGCCAGACTATTAGTGGCAATGCCACATGTTGTCTGTGTACAGGGCTGTGGGACAGCACCAAGATAACCAGAGATTGTGGATAATTGTGCAGGTTGAGGTGCCACCCAGCCCACCACAGACATCAGCATGGACATCATTGGCACGGAACAGGCAGTTTGGGACCAGCCCAAACTGCGCGCACAAGTAGTTGCTTTCAAATGAAATTATCATTTCCATCTTGGGTACAACAAACTGGGATATGGACACACTGGAGATGCCAAAATATGGGGAGATAACCTCTTGCTATCAAGGTATTTTCAGCAACAACAATGCACGCCCAATTTGATGTGCATGCAGACTGCGGGCAATCGGTGATCAACCAGCATGGCTCAGAAATCAAACAGTGAACCTCCACATGGTCTGATTGACAACAATTCGCTACCAGTCGGGCCTCTCCCAACATTTCCAAGCCTACAGTGTTGTTCATGTTTTGCTTTTGTCCCTTGTGAATGCGATTTTTGGAAGACGATAATTCCTTTGTGTGCAAGGGTCTGCCAATGCATCTGTGCTTGCAAGCAATCCGCCATTGTCTCTACATGTTGTGTTTGGACAATGGACATGCAGCCATGCTGCCAGCTTTCACTGCAGAACTTATGAAGCAACGAATCCTGTTCAGCAATCCATTGAAGTGCCAGCACAACTGTTGGTCGTTTCTGCACTACATTTTTGTGCAGTCGTTGATGCATTCCTGTTGGATTGAGCATGAGACGATGCATAGTGTGCTACATCTACAAATCTGCCATCTGAACATCCAATTCAATCAAATTCGTATGACACTGATCACAGGGACAAGAAAACCAGGGAGGATTCCGCAAAATAGTTATTGGCAATTTGGCTTGTGGGGTCCAGAAAAAAATATTGATGGACGAGTACATTGCAAGACTGCTGAATAATGGCCCCAGGAAGTCTTGTTAAAGTGGAGCTTCATCTTTGCACATGCTGGCCCCTAATTGGTCTGATCTCTGGATCTTGCCCAGAGGGCCAACGACCACGATGTAACATTTAGTTCGATGGTTGTTTGGGTGGACACCGATGAAGCATCATTGTTCCCCTGATGCTCATCGCATTGGCAGATTCAATGTAAATAACTGATCCTGCTGAAACTACAATACATTTCGGATTCTCCTCCACATAACTGTCTTCATGGTATGGTGATTTTTACGGAATGAAACGAGTCCCAGCAGTTTTGGTGCCACCATATTGATTGGGCACATATGCGTTTTGTGAGACAACAGTGCCCCACGAAGAATTCCGCACATTGCAGGGAACGCTTGCCATGTCCAAGCCTGATTTCTTGCCTGCCATCAGAGTTCCAACGCGCACAGATTCCACGCGAATCACTTTGCAAAACTCATAAATCCTGGCAAAAATAGCTGTTGCCCTTTGCCATCTTTCCCTGGGAAAACAACTGCGTATGTCTCCTCAGCATCTGTCAGAAACGGAACACCCGCTGACACGTGCTTTTCCGCATTGAACAGGGATTCGTCCAAGCTCATTCGCACAAAGATAACGACATTAGCGCGGTTGCCAACCATAGGCGCTCCCCATCGTCCCCCCCCGACCGCGGCCGACGACGACAATTGGCCGCAACCATCACCTGCGAATCATCGCCGTCGACTGGCAGCACGGCGACATCTTGGGCAGCAGCCAGGGAAGGTGCGGCCATGCGCTGGCGGATCCCCGCCGGGGCCTGCGCGGAGTGCTGCGCGATCGGCAACCGCGACAAGGCCCGAAGCCTGGCCACGGGAGACAGGTTGATGGCTAGCACGGCTGGGCGGGCCACCGGGGTGGGCCGGCTGTAGCCTTTGAGCGACATTGTCGCTGGAGGCGCCCGCGCAGCGCTGCCGCGCAGGGGGGCGAAGGGCCTGGCAGCGTGCGGCCAGGGTGTCAGCAACAGCTCGGCGGGGTGTGAGCAATTTGTCATTGGAGGTGGGTGCGTTCGCAAGGCCCAGGTTCAGCCGCCGAGTCAGCAAATCGAGGGGCCAGCCGATTATGCCTTGGAGATGAGCAACATATGAGGGCCGCATTAAGTTCTTCGCTTGGAGACAAATTTTCCCCCGAACGTATTGTGCGAAGATTCATGGGTTCTATTGCAAGACTGCGTGGATTGAAGCGGACTTGCACAAGTACCCTGTAGGTACCTGTAGTGAGACTGTTACAAGCTGCGCACTTCGCCTCCTCCTTGAGCGCCCCCTCACCGCATCTACCTCACCCGATCTTGGCGATCTTGCCGATCTGCGCCCGATCTGCGGCCCAACACATGGCTCTATTGAATGCTGGCAGATTTGCGCGCTTTTATCCTGTTCCATATTCGAGAACCCTCATCAACATCCACCAAAGACCTCACCCAATTGATGGCGTGTAAAAACATTGCCATAAGCACTCCAAGAGCAGGTGTACTTGCGTTAGTCACGGCCCGGGGGCGCCAGTGCATCGCCGACGTATTTAAAAGCCTGGACGGGAGACAGCTGGCTACGTCCTTTTTAGGCGCAGCACTCAGTCCGCGGAGGGCGTAAAGACACAGTTTGGGGCCTGCAGTCTGTCCTTTCCCTCCGAAATTCGGAATGCGGACTCCTGGGATTCTTGTGACAACGTAACCCAAGGGACTCACCTCCCCGATTCGAACCCCTTCGATTACGCATTTGAATTTTCGCGTGCAAAATGCGGGCACGGTTGGGAGTTTTCTAGGATATTGCCCGAATCAGGGAGTCAGCCCACATTTTCGTCTGGACGAGTTGTCTGCGCACGTGGTGTCCTTCATGCAGATTTTTCCAAGGCATTTCTCATGCGATTCTGTCACAGAACGGCGGTCCGCACGCACACAACGGAGGGCATGCTACTTCCCCTCGTGTCTTGGTCGTGGGGCACACCAAGACGAAATAAAGAAACGAGAATCTTTTGTTTTGCTGTTGGAGCAGCTGTCAGTACTGGTCGAGTCCCCACAAAGGCAGTGGCTGCGCTCCCACACAGAGGCCTTACCCGCAACGTCCATCGACTACCGCCATCGACGCACCGCGACCGTTACAAGCCGCAGCCCGGCAAAACCCCCGCCCCCCCCGCCCTCGAGCCTCGCGGACCTGACCCTCGCGCCCAGCGACGACAGGCGCGGGCAGGGTGCCCCATGGCGCACCCGGGCTCTGACCGCCCCTCCCTAGACACATTCGCCATCCTCCCCGGCGCCACGCTGAACCGATGGGCGCACAAGCAGGCGCAGGCCCAGCTCGCCGCCGGGGGACCCCCATACCGCATCGAAGCGGCCAAGGCGGCGGGAGTGGATTCCACCAGCCTGGCGCCGATCCGGATACCCGCCGGGCACGCCTTCCGAGACTTCGCCCTGTGCCCGGGCTCCCCCGGGCTGCCCGGGCCGCAGCATCCGTGGGACAGCCCCCCTCCGGGCGGGCGGACCCCCGTGGAGTGGCCGTTTGCGTTTTCCCCGCACGGGTCGTTCGCGTCTGGGCCAGGCCCGCCTCATCCAACAAGCGACGGGGCTCAGTGGGGATCGGACGTGGATCAATGGGGAGGCCCTTTGGGCGTCAATGCCGCCGCCATAAAGTACTTGCAGGACGAGATCGCGGACCTGAGGGCGGAGGTGGCCAAGCGGAAGGCCGCGAGGGCGGCGCGCTCCCCACCGGCCGCGTCGCGGTTCAGGGCCTTGAAGGTCAACACAACGGGGCAGGCGCCAGGGGGCACGGAATGGGAGTCGGGCCAGCTGAGCCCGGTGTCCTGCCGGCTGCACGGCAAGATCGAGGAACTGGCCGAGCGACTGAGGGCGATCGGGGTGGCCCAGGGCGCGGACGCGACACCAAACCCGCTTCGCGGCCAAGGCAACGGCGGCGGGGTCGCCACTACAGAGTCGTCAGGCGCTGCACCGTGCCCAAGTCGTCACCGTTCCGGTCCACGGGAGGCCACTGCATTGCCTGGCAGGGGACAAGTCATCCCGCCCCGTGGAGGCGCCGCAGTGGATGAGGCGGCTTGGGCGACAGAACGGGGCGCGGCTGCCCAGGAATCGGAGGCCGGGCTACGTGCGTCCAGCAGCGGCAGCAGCGCTGGCCCCGCGCCGTCGCTGTCCGACATGTCGGACCAAGAGGGGGATGCGTGGGAAGAACGTGGAAGGCGCGAGGACTCGACCGCACCGCTGGAGTCCGCCCCAACCGTTGGGGAGGAGATCGACGCGAGAGAGTGCGGCCTCGGAGCGGCGGTGGACTTCCCGCGACGCGGTGTGGAGCTTGCTTCTGCGCGAGTTGCGCAGGTTGCGGTCCCCCCGGAAGCCGGTGAGTCACGGCGCTGTTTCCCTTGGCTCGCCTCCCTCCAGCAGGGGCAAGAATTGGACGAGGTCACGGGATCTGCAAGGGGGCTCAAAGAGGCCGGCAGCCTATCGGACGAAACCGGACGTTCGGTGCCTGGGGGGCAAGACGGCAAGACTCATGACTGGTTCCCCGGGTTTGCAGCTCCCGCGACGCTGGTTCCCGCTGAGCCAGGTAGGGAGGTTTGTCTACACGGCAGCCCGGCGGTGGAATTGGGCGAGTTGATTCGTGCGGATCGCAAAACCAAAGACGCCGGGGTTCAGCACCACCACCCCATGTCCACCCATCGGGCAACGCAAACTTGTGCCGAGGAGACGAAAGACCGTTGCATGGAGTCGCGGGCCATGGTGACTATGGTCACAATGCCAGACCGTCAGCTGGAAAGTTACGCTCCACGTTTTGACAGCGGATGGAATGCCTCTTCAGAATCGCAGTGCTCTGAAGACGACGGGGAAGTCGGTGGAACCGGAGCCGTCGCCGCGCTCGATTCAATCGACGTCGCTCTGGGTGTCGATGGCATTCAACCGCGTTTGCAAGAGTGCAGGAATACACTAAGCAAAGAGCAATCAACTCAGGCAGATTCACAAGAACCAGACAGCGGCAACGTTCCCGAAGAAGCGGCCGGTCATGACTCAGAGGCATTTGTGGCTTCAGAAGATGGCGGTGGTGAGCTGTGCAGTCGCGACTCAGTTGACTCCCAAGAGGAAAGCAACTCAGAAGACGCTGGGGGGAACAGGTTCAATATCACAGAGCCGTCATCTTACTGGTGCTCCTCCGATCATCACGACGACCTGGGAATGGTGGACCACGGACAGCCGAAGGCACCGGTATGTGTAGACAGTAATGAGAAAACGGCCGAGCAGCCTTCCGAGGGGTCCAGGGACTGTGGTGGGGGCCATGATCTCGTGCAAGCTGGGAGAGCGGTAGGCGACCATGACCTTGGCGGTTCCCCCGAAAATGGGCACCAGTATGTCGAAGAGATGGTGTCCACATCGGATTCAGAGGACACAGACGACCGCGACGAGGATGTTCGAGCAGCGCTAGAGAATGGGCCCCAGCTCGGAAATTACGAATCAATCGTATCTAAAGCAGCTTCCGAGGACGCAGATGGCGATCTTAGAGAAATGCCAGAACACAAGGAAATCGGAGCGATAATATCCGAGTCAGTTTCGGAGCAAACAGGCGAACGCGGCGAGGATGTTGGAGCAAGACCAGAAAGCGTGCCCCCGTGCCACGATGTCAGACTGACTGGATCCACACCGTCTGAATCACAGGTCACAGGCCACCACCACGACAATACTCCACCAGGGCCAGAAATATGCGAGCAACTCCAGGTTAATAATATGGACGGGTCCACATCGGATTCGGAGGACACGGCCGAACGCGACTTTCCAGAAGCCCCAATACATGGGGAACAGCACCAGCGCATTGAAGTAAAATCGACCACATCATCCGAATCATCCAGCACAGGGGACCATGATAGCGAAGGAACAATCACCGGTGTGCAGCCAGAGACGTGTCAGGACATCGAAACAGCATGGCACGCGCCCTCTGCAGCGCTGCCAAGTGTCGAGAGTGGCTCTCAAGCGGCAAACAGCATTGACCAGGATGATGCAAGCATAGAAAGCGATGGTCACGTAGAAACGTCTGAAGATGAGCAGCCATGGGAGCCACCGGTCTCAGATGATGCCAGCGGCCACTCAGAATGCCACTTGAAGCACGACGAAGAGGAGAAATGTGTTAATGAGGAATCTGGTAGCGAGGGCCGATGGAATGAGATGGCAAACCTGCTTCCCATGAGCAAAAGTGCTGGCGAGAATCTGTGCGGCGTGCCTGACGCTGCCCAGCGCAGCGACGACGAATCGGAGTCCGACGATGAAGCCAGAAATGTCGGATTTCGCGTGGCTGAGCATGGCGATGATACTGCAGTGAAGGCTACGCGGTCCCCATGGGAGAGGCGTTGTCTTGGGCGTACGACCTCGCGGATGTCGTTGGTTATGCGGGTGAACTCCCACGCCCTCGATGACTCATGTTTCTTCATCACAGACGAATCAGATTCTTGAGGGAGTCCGGCGACAGCACGACCCAGCAGCCGGCCCGGATGCCCGGTGTCATTCTGGCAGGGCTTCAATAACTCTTACCGCCGCATGTGAGAGAAGATGTTTTTCACATTCTTGTCTTTCTGTGGGAATGTGGTATCCGTGATGTATCGCTCTGATATCTGGATGCAAGGAACGCTGTTCTGTGCACTGGTGGCAGTGTATCGAGATTTCTTGAAGGCAAAACTGTGTAAGAGCCGCAGCCAGTCACTTTTGGGATACCTGTTGCTTGATTGCCGCCTATCAAACAACGCCGCAGTGCCTTTCAGGTTCGAATCGCCGATTGCTGTGTACTGCGTGTACCCTGTTGTCCTGCAGTGACAGTCGGTCTGGCCCTTGCAGATCGTGCTGTATCGTTCTCTGGACAGGAAACATCAGCAGCGCTAATTCATTGTAGCCAACATCGATGAGCGCAGAGTTCTGCAACCCCAGGTTAACACGTTGTAAACTTCAGACTGTGGGGGCTGAGTGATGGGCGCTTCAATGTCCGACGTGCTGATGTGGCATGCACGGCGGTGGCCTGGAGCGAAGCCCGTCACAAGCCTCACCGACATTCATTTGCAGTTTTGAGACACTGCCCGCCTTTGAATCAGTCCTGTGCTCCTGTACCCGGTTGCGGCAGCCCTGTGTCTGGCACCCACAAACCCGATTACACCGCACACCAACACCCGTGTACAACGCCTGTACACACTGTTGCAGGTGCGTATACCTGGGCGCCCGCATATACCGGGCTGCTTGATAATTTTTATCAAACAGCCCGGTAAATTAGCAGCATGATCAAGGGACTTGGAGGAGATTCGACCGCCGCTCATGTGCGGCGGCGACTGCCACACTGGCCGCAGGGCGATCCTTTTGTTGGACTGCGCGGCACGCGGTGTCCCGGTTGCCAGGTACCAAGACTGGGGCCTGCAGCCACGGATCCACGTCGGCCTTGTCAGCTGAAGAAGAAGGGATCCTCACGGAAAAGATGTGGGGACTAACATACTATGTGGATACTCTCCTTCCCACCCAAGGACCCCGGCGATGACGCGATGGCTGCGTGTCTGGATTCTGGCTGCCAACGCCCCGGCCCAGTGCCGTCGCTTCGTTTTCCGCAGTTTGCCGCCCTCGGTTTCCTCACCTTGGTGCGTACCGCGAGACTGTCACGGCGGTCCCCGGGTGCGAAAAGGCTCCCGGACGCGGATCTTCAAAACCGGGTCCCCTCACCACCCTGAATCTGCGGGCCGCGGCTGGACAAAAATCTCTGCGCAGTGCGCCACCGGCCCCAAACAGGGCTCCAAAGCGCCGTGTCCTGCGCGACGAGCCCCTGACGTGTCCGCACCTTGGCAGCGCGGCCGAGCCACAACCCTCGCCGCCTGTGGTCAGAATCCACCCGCACGTCCATTACGTCACTGCGGCAGCCGTCGCTCGGGAGCACACTGGGGCGGGGCCGGCTGGTCGCGACCCCACCGCTGGCGCGCCGTGTGCAGCCGCGGCAGCCTGGCGCCCGCGCCATGACCTCCGTCTTCATCCACCCCCTCTTCCTGTCCTTCTCCAACGAGGAGGTGGAGGACCAGTACGTGCACTTCCGCACCCTGCGCACCTTGGCCACGGTGGACGTCTGCTTCCTGTGCCTCAACTTCGTGCTGCACGCCGCCTTCGTGGCGCTGGAGCTGCTCAAGGCCGAGCGCGCCGACAGCGCGTCGGCCCTGCTGGCCGTCGTGCTGGGGCTGATGGTGATCCTGCTCCAGGGCGCCGTAATGATCCACCTGGGGGAGGCGGGGTGGATGAAGCGCCGCACCTCGTCCATCATCCTGTTCAGGGCCCTTCGGACGATCGTGTCGATGTACGGCGTGCCGAGGCGGGTGCGCGACCCGCCCTCCCTGGGTCCCACGTCCCTGTTCAAGAACATGTTCTTCGGATCGGGCACGCTCATCATCGCCTGGAACGCCTGCGGCATGCCCCTGCTGTTCAAGCACCACATCGTGGTGCAGTCTGCGGGCGTGGCGCTGATGGTTGTCCTGGCCGGCCGGCGCTTCTGCGCCACGACGTTCGAGAGCCCGGACGTGCGGGAGCTGTTCGATCGCCTGTGGAAGACGCTGGACGACCTGATGGTCCTGGTCGCGGGGGCGCCGATAACCGAGGACATGGGGGTCATACAGACCTCCAGGTGGGCGGCGTGCTTCCAGGTGGTGGTGCTGGTGCACCTGTGCCTGGGCTTTCTGGTACCCACGCTGGTATTGTGGCAGCTGGAGCTGCACTCCCGGCGTACTTACGCCACGGCCATGACCGCCAACCCGATGTGGGCGCACGTGCGGTTTGACGACTCGTGGGTGCCCGACCTGGGCAGGACGATCGTGGTGTGCATGCTTGGGTTGGCCGGCATCTGGACGATGGTGACCGACATGGTGGCTTCGATGCCGGGCCAGGTTCCGGAGCGGCTGGAGTTGTGACCGGTTTTCAGGGGCTGGGTTGGATTGCGTACCCGTGCGCACATGGTGGAAATTGCAGAGGTTGTTTGTGGCAAGAGAACGAGGCTTCTCAAACGCGCCGCGCCACACCTGGCCAAACGCGCTGTGAGAATGACCACGGAACGGAGGTGGACGTTCGAGAGCGAGGAAATTCGGTGGAGGCTATGGAAGGGGGTATTTGTGGGCGTTGATGTTTGGGTTTCATTGGGGCCATCCGCTGATGGTTGGGGAGCATTGTTTTCGGGGACAGTTGGCTCCCTGAGAGGCGCGCGGAGCAGCGCTCCCAAGTGCTGGGGCAGCGTTCCTATGTGACGGCAATCGACAGTGAACGGTGGAGGGGTTCCCCTCCCAAATTTTTGCGTCCCAATTTTGTGAATCACAGCTCTGGCCCTGGCGCTGGGCAGATGGATTGGTGAAGATCTGCCAGGGTTAAGGCGTGAAGGGGCTCCCGCTTTCAATTGCTTACGATCGTGGCCAGGTGTATGCCAGGATCCATATTGAGTGAGTCAGCACCATGGATAGAGGTGGACAGAGGCATAGACTGACGAAGAATATTTTACGAGTGCTGAACAAAGGAAGGTGGACAATTGATCAAGTGGTGGCGGAGATAAAGATGGCTCTGCTGCACAGCAGGAAGACTGGCCTTTCTGGCCTTCCCCGCCATGAGGCAGGACAGCTACTGCCTTTGCAATGTGCCTGTGGGTCTTGCCGTACTGCAGGGCCCTGGGGGAAGGCAGCATTGAGAATCTTTGCTGTATTTAATTGGGATGCATGGGGGACTCTCCTATACACACGACCCAGGGGAGTATAGACAGGCAGGGTGTTCAAATGACCACATTTCATCCCTGAGAGCACCGCAGTTTTTTGCACCTTGTTGATTGTACACTCGCACAGGATGGGCTGGAATGCAAAGCCTAGCTACCAGATTGGAATTTGATCGAACGCAAAATTTTTAGGATTTCAATGTGTGAGACCGAAAGGTAACTCTCGCGAGGCGTTATTCGTGATCATGCTTGGAAACTTAGAATTTATTAAGAAATTCCAATGTAAGATACCAAGGCATTGCTCAGACACGACCTCTTCCAGCGATTCTCATGGGTGAATGAAAGGAGCATTCCCAGTTGACAGTCTGACCTCTTTCTGAGGCCCTTGTGGTGCGATCGTGCCATATCTGTTCGCCACCCCCCTGCACAGCACTTGGGTACTGGTTGGGAATCTGGCACTGAAGGCAGGTACACCACAACCTGTCACGCTTGAAACCGGCTGGCCGATCTTGTTGCATGGCGCTGGACGTACCTTGCAGGTGCATGAATAGAGACAGTCGGTCTGAATGCCTTTGCCACATTATAGAAAGGGACAGCCCTTTTGCTCACAGATGTTCAAATTGAATACTGAGCATAATGAATGAAAATCGTTAGCACTTACGTGAATGGGCAGACCCTACAGATGGCCAGGACTCCAGCAGTTGTAAGGAATTGTAGCAATGGTGGATTCTACTGCTGCATTCATCACTGCAGCTGTCATTCTATCATGTTCGGTTATCAGAGAACGTGGTGAAGGCAACCATGAGTCAGGTAGTGCCCAACTACAACAGGAAGAGGGGCCATGGACTGGCTGCTGCCAATGATCGACCAGCAGTGCCAATGATAGTGCCATGGTGCACGCATGCTGCTCTCTGCATCTTATGTACCAGAGCTGGGTGCTGTGGATCCCTGTTGTGCCTGACTTTTGTATAATCGGAGCATGGAGTTTGCAAACTTTGCATCTTGGACAATCTGAGCCAAACCGTGCGCCTGACATTGTGTTGCAGGTGCAAGGGTAGTACTCTGTCAGTTTTCAACGAGCTAGGTCAGAATTGCACACCTGACATTTGCGCATAGACCATCGTGCCCACCGATGCATCCCCCTGCCTACAGCTTTTGTATCACTGCCTCCAGTGCCAGAGCCCAGTGCGTCCAGTGGGTGCCCCCCTGGCAGTAAACTACATAAGGTGGACGCAGTGGCCCATCTGCGCTCAACTCAGATGTGCTCCCGTCAATAAAGGTGCCATCAGCAAAAATGACTTCGTCTCCATACCCTGCCGTGACTCCTGCAGCAAAGTCGGCCACCAGCAGGGCAAGTTCAGTTCTGAGTGCTGCCCCAACAGGCGATCTCGATTGTCAGAAGTGCGAGTAGAAACCAGTTATCAGTGGCACATCGCGCTGCATCTCCTTGTGTGCTTCAAAAGGGGTCGCATTCAATGCCCAAGCAATTTTTTTCCCTGTTTCAAGAGTCCTGTAATGCAACACAGCACACCAAAGGCGGTATACGCTGCAACCGCAGCCAGGGACATCAACAGCTGCTGCAAAGAATAGCACGAGCAGCTGCACTGCAAGTCTCCAACATCGGCATTTGCCTTGGGAGCATTTACCCTTGCACAGCTCGGTACCGATTTGCCCACAAGCAACAATGTTGCTAAGTAGTCACTTACCTGGAACTGGTTGTACGTATGAAGCGACGGGGCAGCAGGCCTGCACTGCTTTGCAAAAGTGAGCCATCTTGTCAGGGCTGCCCAATTCAACGGCAGTTATGAACGACGGTTCATGGTGCATCCCAGGTCCAGGTGTGACTCCATAGCCCCTGCTGCCCATGACGTCTGCGATGAGTCGGCCGGCCTTCAGTGCCTCACCCACAAACTGAGGAGCAAGAAACAGGCCTGCATACAGTACAGAGTTGAGGCATGGCATTGTCCCATGTCCAGAGCGATGAAGGCAACTTGCATCCACAATGGAGCATTCCAAATAGCTCACATGAACCACGGCATACATGTAAACTGCTCGACAAGTGTATTAGTACAAATGCGAGTACACATTGGTGTAAAAATATTGGCAGACTGGCACATACAGAGTACACATGGCATCGGAAAATGAGCTTCGCAACACCGCAAATCGGGTGTGGATGCATGCATGATAACGCACATCTACTGGCCATGTCAAAACTTTAGTCAGTTGTAAGCATTCAATCAGTGTTGGCAGCAATTTGCCCCAAACCGCAATGCTGCCCTGACAATTTGCTACAAGTTTTCGCCAAATTGGTACTGGGTGTACCAATTATTTGCATCGGTGCCAGCACGCAAAACTCTGTGCACTATGGACTGTGTGCCCACCACCCACCCTGCATCACAAGTCGCAGATATTCGCCCAGGGTGCTGCCAGCATCCAGGCCCACCCCGGGCGCACCCAATCTTGAGAATGCTGCCTCCACCATGTCTGCTCTCCCTGCCACATAGCCACCCCCAGGCGCCAGCGTCCCGCCTGGGTTCTTGATCAAACTGCCCATTGCCAGATCGGCACCAACAGAGGGTGGCTCAATCTTCTCTGTGAACTCCCCATAGCAGTTGTCCACAAAGACCAGGCACCCTGGGTCTGCTCCCTTGATCACTTGCACAGCTCGCTCGATCTCAGCGATCGTGAGGGTGGAGCGCAGGGCATAACCGCAAGACCGTTGAAGAAAAGCGACCCTTGGTCGGCCTGCGGGTCAGCCACAAGCAAAAGGCCGCAGTTTTTCCCTTGCACTCTTAAAAGTGGCCATCACATTTTCTCACTCTTATTTCTATAGAATGCTACCATCATGAGAACAACATCATGGCTGCCCTACAGGAATTTCAACTGTTTTCATGCAAGAAACACTGCCACTCACCTTCAGAAGAAGTGAGGACTCTAGTTATTGAAAACTTTCTGTCACACAAACTAACAACACTACAATTTCATTTACAATGCTTCTGCATGTTCAATGCACCTTCAGCGATGGCTTCTGGCAGCGCCTCCCAGTCTATCTTCCCCTCGTGCGTCAAGTCCAGCTCCCGATATGACACTCCCCATTCCCTCAGGGACCCGGACCCAGGACTGCCTCTCAGTCCTATCACCTCCTCCAGTGTGTCATATGGCCTGCAATGCCAATGTGTGCATGGTACGCACTTTCACCAGCTTGTATACCGATTCTTGAACTTGCAACCATGCCCTGTTAATTCCGGTATGCACAGATTGGTGGCCATAATATGCCAAAACTAGGGGCTATCACTGTGCAGCTCAACCCAGTTACCATGAAGCCCTTGAATGCAGGAACATTGCTGTGTTTCATTTTCTGAGCACACGGTGCTGTACACAGTGGCATACAGACAGACATCGTACAATATTTCCTAATTTTCGATTCATAAGCATCCCTCTGCTGTTATTATCGGCACACTACAAAGTCCACTGCCAATAACCATCTCATTCGCCTATCCATTGCCCTTTTGACAGTGTGTGCTGTAAGCACTGATGTTCTCAGCAAAGGTACAGTGGCGCATCACATACACTACTTGTCTGCACATTTGCATTTTGTTATATTGCCACGACAGCTTTACTTTCCCAGCTGTTTAACAGTGAAATTGGGCTCATCATCCTGCTACTACCTTTGGTATACCACAGCCAAGCATTGTCCTAAAGTTGATCTCCATTCCAACACAGCGGCGAGTTCACAAGGCCCAGCCAGTTGGCAACCATCCAATCCCGAGTTTGTCTTGTGTCCACAACTGTATCTGTTGCTTGATAGCTCCCTCAGAAATCAATGGGATATGTGTCCAAGCGAAGCTCCAGCTACGCATCGTACTTGCAGCGAATTCACACATGAATCTTTACTATTGCAATCTATATTTCAGCAGCCCCTCTTTGGAAGCCTAGAAGCCACAACTTGGTGTGTCATTGCTGGTCATTTTAAATGACAGTAAGAAATGTCAGCATGGCATGAGGCAGCGCACCAGTACCTGCCTGTCACAGACAGTAGCTCATCCCCTGGTCGTAGAGCACCATACAGACCGCAGGCGATAGCGTGAGTCCCCGACACGAACTGGGATCGGACAATCGCCGACTCGGCCCCCATAACATCAGCCATGGCCTGAACAGCAGCTTGCCGTCAGAGCTCCGCTGAGAAGGCACCTCCAACCTGCCCAGGCTGCGCACAGCCCAGGTCAATGGTCAGATTACTGACTGCATTTGCCGGGGCACAACAAACCTTTGTTTCCTCACACACCCAGGGTGATGGCAAGTACTCTGCCATGCACTGTATTCCTTCCTCCGACAGAGCATTCACTGCTCCCAAGCCTGAAAATACTTCAGTGCATGCCTGTAGTGATTGCACACAGCACTGCTTCCAGAATGCTCAGTCAACTCTACTCCTTCAGCACGTCCTAAGACAGGAGGAAGCAGTTCCAAATCCACTCTGAATTTCGTGTGCAACTTTGGCCATGGAATGCCCCACCTCATCAAAAGCCTTCCTTCCCAGATCTCCATATCCGTAGCCTGTCGAACCTGCAAAATGATGTCGGCCAATCTTTGCTTGGGAGTATGCTTCTTGCACTCTTCGAGAGTTGGAAGCCACCAGCTGATCTATTTCTAGAAACTGTGGATAGAGGCGCCTCACAGCTTGCCATATCTGCTTGAATTGCACACGGCATAAATGAGGCCATGGAAAATGACAGAAATGTGCCAAACATCTGGCAAACCACCATATGTGCTTCTACTCACACAATCAGATCTCTTACTCCTGGAGAAGTTTGAGAGAACACAAGGGCAGGCAACTGGCCATTTGCACCATACAACTACAGTCAAACGTTGCTTCCATTGATGTCATGACTGCAATGTTCGTCATGCAACAGCTCGCATAAATGCCCTGGCCATGAAAATGTGAGGAGCAATCAACTGGAGCAAACACAAATAATTTCCACCAGTCGCATCAATCTTCAATCTAACATCAAGCAGCACTTGGCTCTGCATTTTTGTGCCTAGGACACAAAGGGGTTTACACATGAAACACATGTTGTCATTCTGTGTGGGGCACATTCAAGCACGAGACATAAACATCAGAATGATCGCTCTTTCAATGGACCTCAGTCAGAAAAGCTGAAATAGCACTGGATACATGGCTGACATAGCGCAGGGGCCAAAGTGCTGTTGCACTTCACTGTTCTGCTTGATACACAGGTGGGCCATGGGTCGACAATAGTTTGGTCCATTCTGTCCTGTGTAATTCAGCACCATCGTAACTCGGCCTGCAAGTACAAACGGCTGGCACTAACTACTACCAAGAGGGATGCTACGATTTCTATCAAAATGGTTGGACACACCCTGGATAGGGACGTGTACTTCTGCATCCCATAGCTGATTTTAAGTGCCAACATCAGCTCTGTTTGGTTCTTACTTAAGGACCGGACAGAAATTTCTGTTGGACTTGTTGATCATGAACAATTGGCCAGACGATGGAGAAGCCACTTTTTACTGTGCCTAAGGTCACACACACACTCCGGGTTCCAAAATGTGCCATGTATTTCAGCTATTGGAACCGTGCTCCTGTCAACCATCCTGTCCAACAATGGCCATGGTGCCACTTGTTTGGGCACGCGTGCATTCAAAGCCTGTTGGATAATTGCTGCGTCAGACACAGCTCAATGTACGTGCATGCTATCCATCACCTCTTCGCCTGTCGCTCCAGACGAAGCTTGGCCAGGACATCCGTGCCCATTTGACAGAGTCCCTGCCGCTCGGTCCGTGGGTTGTCGTGCGACGCCACCAACCCGCCACTGGTACAGAGCGGCGCGCGGAGCAGCACTTCTGGGGCTGCCCGCCCCCAGGGCTTTCATGTCCGGCGGACACAAACGGCCGATCGTCTGGAAGGGTCGGATGTGCGGCGGGGGAAGTCCCCGTATGGCTGCGGTGCTACAAGAAGAGGAGCAGTGCTACCCATCAGCCTGGCAATGGGAAGACATGTCGGGACCCAGTGAAGGAAACCCCGCTCACCTTTCAAGCACAATGGCGCTCCTCTGTCGACGCGCACCGCCTGTGGGCCCCGATCATTGGATCGCAAGGATGGTTGCCAGAGCGCCGGGAACCTCTGCTTCTCAAAAGTGGAACAATTGGGACGTGGGCTTGGGAGCGCGTTTCTGGCGCCTGGGCATTTTCCGCCCAGGGTTGATTTGCATGTTCAGGCCCCACCTTCATGTACGGGAATAGGTGGTGTGTGACTCTGCAGAATTATTCCCATTCATTGGTGAAAAGATCGTGGCCGAAACATGGCCAGACCCTCCGGGTAGCACAGTGAAATTCTTCAAAAGATTCGGCCGCCCCCTGCCCCGGAGCGGTTGAAGAGAGCGACAAAAGTCGGTGAGATTGGGTCGCTTTGCATGCATGTCGCTGGCAAAGCGGCCATGGAAACACGGGCAAAACCTCCTCACAGGCCATGCATGTCCAGACGCATGCAATCCAAAAGGGCATGACAGAAGCGCTGACAGAAACCGCAGCGATTCCCACAGACTCACCCAGAAGGCCAAGCAGCCCGAACGATGTGCACGCCATCACGCCGAAATCCTAACGTTTGGGGACCGAAAACCGCTGGCTTTGGAGGCAACTGGTCGGGTTACACGCCGCGCCCTGTGTGCACACGCTCACACTCGGAGAACACCAGCAAGGCGTTTGCAAATTCAAAAACTGTTGTTCGTTTCGTTGCATCCCCTCCCAAAATGGGCAGCGCGACCTTGTGACGCTGCACATGTTGCGGCAGCCGCCCAAAATAGCCCCTCGAAATGTTGTACATGTCGCCACATCAGATCCATTTTGATCCCTAAATGTCCTATCAACTCTGAGAGTTCACATTAAATTCCCTCCCAGCCCATCACATCCCCGAACGGGTGTCCCATGTTTGTAAGCTATTAATCACCATGCAAGGATTGCATCCACACCACACAACACGCGGCCCAAGCTACAGAAAAAATGCAATTTCAGCCCTCTACCATTTGGGCACATCAGATTCGAAACAAAAAGCTGCCGCACCTCACATATCTGCCGTCATGGCGACTCGAGCGACATGATGTCACTCAACCATCGCATCCATGGCCATCCTATCCATGCCAGCACATGGCAAAACAAATGCCACCTCTAATGCTCATTCAGCAGGCAGATCATGTCGCCATTCTGGCTGTCAACTGCCACTAGAAAAATTTTTCATATCCTTGAGTCGCAGTTGAAGTCTGAGTTCAATGCACTGACGTAATGCAAACCCACAGCTGTCTGCACATTGTGCTGCTCTGGCTATGGCTTAAACAGCCATTGATGATGTTCAATTTCCCCTGCTATTGATGATCTGATCCTCAACATTGCACCCCAGTCCGCCATGGTCTATCCGCTCAATTCAGGACCACATTCTGGGCCTCACGAGGCGCTAGCTTAGTGATAGTACGCAGACAAATTGACTGCCAGTCAGTATGGTACGTTGGGCTCATTTATCGGCGACCCGAACACTGGGTGGATTGTAATGTCTCATGGCCGGTGATTGGTTTACTTTACGACCATGCGACTCATTGCGTGGGGTAGGCCGCATCGAAACTTCAGAAGAAACGAAAATGGCAAGAGACTGGTTATTTGAGAGAACTCAGTGTCGAAGTTGAGGAAATCAACACTCAAGGTTTGGGTGCTTCTTTTTGATGGTGCTTAGGGCCAATTTCGATGTTGCCTCAGTGACAGCGCAATCCCATGAACACATCGTCTCCTTTGGTTCTTCATGAGAGTCTCGTTCCATCACATGAGTGGCCATCGCGGGGGCAGCATGGTGCTTTAAGGATCTATTCGGACTTTAGAGACTTTATCTCCCCAAGTACGAACATTGTGCCGCTAAGAGATGGCTATTTTCATCCTGTTATCTTGTCCGCAAGGAATCTTCTTGCGAAATTGTGTCTTTCCCACAGAATTTGCAAGATTCCAAGAATGCATCCGTTGATCACTTAGGGTTGCGAGGATTTCCGGTGCTTGCAAATCTGCAACATAGCCGTCCAAGTCTGGGACTTTGGACCACATTCATAACCTGACTAGTTGGAAATGTTGTGATTAACTGATGGACAGGTGTTTGCCAGTTTGCTTGTTCCTTGCAGAAATGCCTCAACATGACGTCACGGCATCGATCATTGTAGCGTGGATGCAGTGCATGATGGGACCTTATTTCGATCGCGTTCTCCTTCGCAGGAGAAGACTACACTAAACTATGGTGTCGAATTGCTGAGTACGCGTTCGTGCGGCACTCTGCCAGGATGAACAAACTACTTAGTGGAAGGGTGGGAATGGAAGGTGTGTATTGAAAAGAAGCAAAAAGATGGGCCGGGCCACGATACTGTTCAGAGACCATGGGGCATATTGCCAAAGCCACAGGTTTTGGCCCAACGCTGGCAACACAACTGCTGATGCCTTGTTGGGGGACCGCGCAAAGTGCCGCCTGGCTCAGCAAATGCTCTAACTTTGAAGACATGGTGCGTTTGTGCACAATGACGAAGCTCCAAGCGTCCACATCAGGAAACGCAACACAGAACTGGATATTCAATTCCACAGTGAACCCACCGGGAACAATCTCCACACACCTCCAACGCTGCAAGAATTGTGCAAGCAGGCCCCACCGAAATGCCTCATCAAGGTCCACGGCCGCCCATAGTTCCCAGAAAATGGTTGTATGAAAATATAGGGCCTCCCCTGGCGATTTCTGCAAATTCACCAAGATAACCAACTCTGCAGACCCATATGCTGCCAGCCTCCACAACTCATGCAAGAGTCTCAAAGAATTCGTGCTGCGGCCGCATGCTCTACTTTTTCCGCTTGTAGATCTTGTTGAGCAGCCCTGTGAACACTTCACTAGGAAGCAAGGTTTGTTCGCTGATCAGCGAGGACAGCTTCTCATAGCTCTGCTGCTCATATTCCTCAAATAGCTGCTCCAATTTCATGTCTCGATACACAGACTTCACAGCCTCTATAGCTGGCTCCTCGTCCTTTCCATAGTTGTCCTGCACACGAAGCACCATCAGCGGGTGAGCGCACAGCTGACTGGTGACCCGTGGTGGTTTGGTGTAGTGTTTTTTAAAGTGTGGCTGCTTTTCGTAGGCACCACTCAAGCAGACAACTAATGCTGAATCGTTGAAGCGAAACTTCTCCAGCTGGATGAACTTCTTGACTGACATTTCATGTGAATGGGATGTGCAGGCTTACTACACAGATGCCTTCCACACATGCCAATACGCTTCCAACATACTGCACGGTGCTTTGTCATTCAAGACAAAGGCCATTTCATACAGCACATAGTCGCAAGCGTTCGATGAGTCTCTACCCGATGGGTTTGCACTGGAGTTCCAAATGCTGCTCAAATCCTCAGCTTGCGTGCACAAGAAAGGGCTCCATGACGCTACAGGGGCAGAAACACAGATGGCAAGGCGCAGTGGTCGCAATGCTGACAGGAAGAAAGTCCGACCCACTGCCGCTGGCAAGTCTTGAGTGCACAATTGTCCGCTCTGGCCGCGGTTGTCCAAACAAGGCGAAGTAGCATTCATCCACCACCTGTGGTGATAGCCAAAGTAAGTCGTTCAGAGACTATACTCTGCTCACCAGCAAGTGCTGTTTCTGCTCAGGCGACGCACGCTGCAGGGCTTGGCATATCAGCCATGAACACTTGTTGTCCTGGACATCCGTGCCGATCTTCCCCAGCACTGCAGGATCTGCAAAGCAGTCCAGCACGTCATCTTGAATCTGGAAATACTGACCCATGGGAATGAGAATGTTGCGAGCAAGTTCGAACGCCTCTGGCTTCTCCACGCCGCTCATGAGTAGCCCGCATGCGACGGGAAGGTAGAACGAGTAGTAAGCCGTCTTGAACGTGATGATGTTCATGTAGTTGTCCATGGTGTAGCGGTCGAAGTTGCGCTCGCCTGGAGGTGAGGCCGTGATCATGTCAAGCATCTGGCCATGAGCAGTTTGGGCTGTCACCTGCCCACACCAGTGATTGTGTGTTCAGCTCACATCCCCTGCGCTTCAGCACTTTGAGATCTTTTGAGCAGGTAAGACTATATCAGGCAGTGCTGAAGCTGCCAGCACAGGTCAGAAGAAATGTACAACAAAAGCCTTCGTTATGAAAATGATGAAAGCTTGCCCATTTGGCGAGAACTTCAGCGCCCTCAGTGGGTGAGCATGTATTTGGCAACAAATGTTACCAAAAAACATATCCTGGCTGAGCATCCCAAGCCCACGAGCAGCAAGGCTGCACAACAACCTTGGCAGTATTGTCCAAACCAACAAGCTAGGTTCAAAAGGTGACAGGTGTGAGTGCAGTTGTTGCTGTTCAGAGCCAATACTACAAAACACCCAGACAGCATCGAGAGCCAACATCGAGAGCCAATGCTACAAGATATTGTGTCTCCATTTTATCCTGAGCGACCTTTAAATAAGTCAACAAACTATAAAACCAACCCCTGTCTGTGGCAGTATTGTCAAGTGTAGGCGTAGGTGAGGTGTTGAGTCCTTCAGAATATATGAGCGCTGCAGGCACACTAATGCCTATCAGTCGACGCTTTCAATAGCGTGCGACTGCAGCCACAGGGTTCAAGAGAAATATTGACTGGCATATGACAAAGAATGTCAACAAAACACAGCAGCAACTTCTTGGCCCGTTGGCCACTTTTCAGTCAATGGCCATGCAGGATGAATCAGCAACAATCCCACATTTCAAGAGTCATGTCATACATTTGCATCTCACCAATTTCTATGTCACGTACAGCTGCATCAGCCATCGCCACTTTGGCCAAATACTGCTCAAAATGCCATCACAAAAGTGAAGGAGGCATCCCCAGGCTAGCTTCTCACCTCATGGAAAACCTCCAAAACTCGGAGGTAGCATGGCTCACTGGCAAAAGTCTTGTGCAGGATTCTGTAGATGCACACGTCGAGGATGATGGAATCATTGAAAGCAACAAGGCCTACCTACAGATGTGCATACAGAAGGATCATGGCTGCAATTGGCACTGCAAACATGCCGTCAGAAGAAAGATGTTGTTAAGGTATCCAATGGAACTCCTTGCACAAATGGTGGGCTTCCCAACTTGGGTGGTGCCAATTGTCTGCAGGAGGTGACTGGAATGAGTGCAATGGCAACAGAAATTAAAGCACAGAGTCAAAACAGGCATATTCTCTCTCACATTCGGCTGCCTGTACCAGCACGGTTGGCCTCTCCTTGTGATGGAATTGTCCATGATATCATCGGCAACAAGGAAGAAGGCCTGAAGCTGCAGACACAGAAACCAGCATTATCAAGATGAGCATCTCTGTGTGGGATTTTCATCGGGCTCGTTCACCATCTCATTTCTCTAAGAGCTGTGCAGCCACAAAGCACTGTACTTGTCAAGGTTTAAAAGGACAAAAACATGCAGAGTCCTGTAGAGTGTTCGAAGAAAAGTAATAGGGAATTCCAACAGACGCTGATTTGACATTTTTGTTATCCCTATTACCCATGCAAGATCCCAGGACTTGTTTGTTGTTGCCATTCTGACAGGTGCAGTATAACTGTATTTAGGCGCACAGTCATGCAAGACATGTTTAGGGACAAAAAAGTCGATAAGAAAGTTGGCAGCTGAGTAGCAACTGCTGGGGTGCAGATGCAGCCTGGAAGTGAATCCCTGTGGTCCACGAATACAATAAACTGCAAATTTGATCTGGACATGACATGCACCGGACCAACTGGATATTCTTGCAAGGACAATGGCCAGCATCAACATGCTCATGCAAGGGCAGTGTTTTGTCACATTTTCATAAATGCAATGAAAGGTCCACACAGCCAGTCCAGGCGCCGAAGTGGAAAGGAAACTAACACCAGGTAGCCATTAGTCGTCCACTCAGGGCACCTACCCATTCGATGCACCATCCCAAGGTGTTTGCTTTGTTCACATCGCTCCAAGTGATGGCCTGCAATACCATGGTGTTGGCAGCTGGTGAGATACCAATAGCATGTGCTGATGCCATTGACAGCGCCTTCCCACGGACAATGTTTTGCCGAAGCTGATCTGCTTGCACCCCATGGCCAGGCATGCCCATGCCATAAATGTGCCTATGCAGCCTATTCTTAAGGAGCTTATGCATGTGGTTGGAGTGTTGGGAACAACTATGCCCGAATCGATTCAATTTGTCAGCAGGTGTTGGAATTCTGTTTGCTACATTTGTCACAAAGACATGATACAAATTTGACATGCAATAACATACATTTGTCCAAAACACTTGACATAACAAGCCTTTGTACAATAGCAGGCGAAGAAGGGCCCAGCGTGGTGCGCTCTCCGACTTGCATCCAGAGCCTCGCACCTCCTTGCCCTTGATCGACTTGACAACGTCAAAGACCGCCATCCCTCGATTCAGTTTCCCTCCTGGGACATTGTAGTCCAACATCTGGTGCACACGTCGTGCGTGAGTTCTTGCTGCATCCAGCGCTCCTCAGGCACTCTCACGTGTCATCGAATGTCAACCCACATCGCCGTCCGGGCGAACATGCAACGCTTCACATATCAAAACATTGGCAACAAAATGAAGATCTGCCTAGCCGAACAGCCTCGCTGGCCCGCTGAGGCGACCAACCTTACTCAGCCACTCAGTGGCGAAGGACGGCGTCCCAGCGTACACCTCATCCTTCACAACGCTGTCCCTGAGGCCGTCGTAGTGCGCGAGAAAGGCCTGCGACCGGCACACATCCCTGAACATCCAGCCACACTCGCCACCGCGACGGCAGCGCTGCGCCCCAAGGCCGGATGCTTCGCGTGGAACGGGCTTCGATGGCGACATCGCGGATCCACGGCAAACGTGCTGGACTCTTTGGAGCTGATCACCTGTCGGTCGTGCACGTAATCCGCGGCCGGAGCGTCGTCACTCCGGGAGCCCCCAGTCGCGGTGCCTCCGGACGCCATGGCCAGCACCGCCGCCCTCCCAGCCCCAGCGCCTGACAACAGCCCCGCGGAGATCCGCCCGAGTGGGCCCCTGCCCAGAATCCCGAGCATTCAATGCGCAGAAGAGCGCCAGGGCGTGGCGCCCTTCACTGGGCTCGGGCTGTCGCGGACCCGGCGCCGGAACCGTCCGACGGTCCCGGCGTCGGACTGGGGTGGCATCGTCATCATTCATTTCCACAAATCAAGGCAATGAGGTTCGTCATCATCATGATTTTTTTACAGAACAAGGCAATGAGGTTCATGCATGCCCGAGCAAAGCAGCGTCTATGATCAGTTCATTGAAATCTAATGTGGGATGCTGCGGTGACAGAATCGCAGAATGGTCTCAGCCAATCAGTTAGGCATCAGCATGAATAAACGGGGCATTAAGATCGCATTAGAGTAAAATCCGCCAGGAATCGGAGTTTCATAACACTGGCGCCGCACTTATTTTGCGGAAATCGATGAGTTCGTTCAGTTGCTTGAATCTGGGGTTGAGGTACACTAAACAGGCTCCCCAAAGGATAACATAAAAACAGCCGCTCGAAGAGACAACGACATCACCAAGGAGGGTACAGCATTAATTGGCTGCAGCAGAATGGGTGGGAGGCGCGTGCTGTTCGAATCGTCCGTGTGTGTCCACGGACGCTGCGCTTCCGCGCTCTGCCCGGGGCGGCCCACTTCTCTGCCAGAGCCACCCTGTCGCCGGGAGTTTGATGGCTATCCGGGCTCGCGAGACGGCGAAGGTGCCCCCCCGCGTCCTCCGTTTGCGGTTGTGAATTGCATTGTGTCCGTCTGCCGCTGAGATCTGAGATTCCATGTTGGGTGGCGCCGCGCAGCAAATCAGGTTGGCATCGAGGAATTTGGTGCGCGAGGTGGACAAGGCCAGCTTCAAGGTCGGTTGGGGAAAGGCTCTGATGGGTGGGTCGATTCCACGCATGAACGGCGGAAGGCCAACGGGCGATAAATTGCTCATAACAATTGAAAATTGGCGTCTGGAAATGGTGTTTGAACGACATAGCTGACATGGGTTTTCATCCTTAATCGTTCGTTGTGCTCTTCTCTCCCTTCGTCGTACCAGGCATTGAATGGGACAAGTGCACAGGGGAGTATCCGCCCATGGACCCAAACATTTGAATGGTGATGATCGGGGAGGCCAAAAAATCCATCCACAAATCTCGTCTCATGGAAATTCGCTAGGCAATTGCCTCCCTGCAGCGATGCTTACAAACAAGACAAACGTCTTGCTACCATCAAAGACAATAATTTGCCACGATTGCCCTCCAGGTTGATAAACTCGTAGAATTCGCAAAGACGAACTGACTGAAATGTGACGGTGATATATGCTGTACAGGTTGGCACCTGTTCCAAACCTGATCTGAGGTCTGGCACAGCTCCCCTGGCCGTTCTCTCTGCAGCCGCTCCTGAAGATCGTTGTGGGAGTGGACGGGCTCGTGTTAACCCCTGTACTCCTGGGGGCCAATTCTTTTGTCGAGGTTCACAGAATGGGCTGACGTGCAGATCTCTGCACATCCAGCACGGTTGGGCATTCGGAGATGGCCCAAGCCTGCGGGCCTTGTCTTCACAAGCTGATGAATTGGCCAAGGGTTCCCCAGACTGTAAGGAATGGAATCCCAGCCTTGCAAGCCCCACAAACAGGAAGGCTGATGCCCCTGGGGACAGGAGCAAGTGGCAAACCAGGCAATCTGGCTATGTAGAGGGCAATGAGAATGGAGATGAGTCCTCCAGAGGACACAAATGGGCGAAAGGGAGTGGAGACAAGCATCAACAAGGTGGAATGCACAATGCATGGGCCAACTATAGCTCATGGTTCAAGGTGGGCAGAGCAGAGGTTGCTGAATACAAAGGCATTGGGCATTGCAATAAAGAGAAACAAGAGGCGATACTCTAAATAGAGGCGAGGACAACAGCACCAACCTATAATTATAAGAGTTTTAATCAACAACATCGACATCGCTCCATCCCCGAATGGAATGTTGCCATCCTGAGGGACCTACTCAACAGTATGGAGTGGGTACTTGCTTACTACTCTAAGTAGTTGTGATCTGAAAGAATATCTAGATTCAGCGCTTGAAGAATTTGCCTTTGCCAATGGCGAGGCAGCGCACTAATGAGCATGGGGAACTCCGGCTGGGTGAATGCAGATGTTCTGCATGCACCATCAATGTCTGTGAGGCTTTGTCGTAGAAAAGGACGACATGCTCTAATACGATGGGCGTCCCTCCCTGAGCTATGTTGGAAATTTCTCCATCCTATTACAAATGGTGTGCAAGTCTCCAACTGCAGTATCATACAGCACAGAGCAACATGGATAGCAAGCATGCAGGGCCAACATCAGCAGACAGATGGCCACAGTTCATCGCCATACAGGTAATCTGGCACTGTTTGGCCAGAACATGAGTATTTGAGAAACAACGAAGGCACGTCCGAAATCAGCGCCGCTTCACGATGTATGTGCACTGCTAGGAAAGAACACTGCTGATGGCACCTGCAGTGCACTTGTCTGGAGAGGTGCTTGTACCTAAGAGGTACTGCAAATGCAGTTGACACAACACTTTGGCTGTGCCGTTTACATGTTGTACCAATGACTGCAGGGGCCAGCAGAGGGGAAGAACAGTGCAGACTCCCCTCAAGCCAGCATGGCCAAGGTGGGACAGGTCGTTTGGGACGAGGTCAAGAATGCAATCCTGCCAAAGGAGGCGGTGCTTTCCGCCACACGTGCCAGAGAGGGGACCATTTCTTATGGCGAGGCTGCCAGCGGTGGTCCCTCCCATCTGGTTGTGGCTGAACAGAGGAAATCCGCCTTTTGGAAGCTGCTGGAGGACGCATTCCAGAGCAGCCCTTTATTCAGGAGGCTGGAGGGTCTCAAGGACCACCAGGTGTTCAGCAGAGGCCGGGAGATTGCCGCTGGCCTAAGGGACCGGTGGGAAGCGAGCGATCATCCGATGATGCACAAAATCCAGGTGTGTGTGGCAAATGCAACTGTCGGCTTTAAAAATTGGCTATTTGGTAGTACGTATTTAGTAGTGACAGATTTGTCCTAGGCGATGTTGCTGGTATACATTGTTGGATTGCCCAGAGATTGTAGCTGCTCGTGTGGTGAACCAGCCACAAGCTTGTGGGTGGTTCGGCTCCCCCTGGCTGTTGGGCAGGGCTCATGCTGAAACATCAACGCATTGGAACAGTTGGCAGAATGTGGCCATCGGAAAGACCAGTAATCTGTCTTGTTGTGTACTGTGTCAACTTGTTCTGAGGCCTGTGGCATGCCGTGCCACAAACATAATTTGGCAGACAACCATTTTGCCTGACATGAACATGCCCGCATTTAATGTGCCAGTGCACCACAATGCACTGGACAAAACCCCGTGGCTAGTTTTGCTAATTAGTTAATCCAACAATAATATAAAAAATATAGCAAAAATTTTCAGTTCAGCGCTGTACATATTGCTTCTCCTTGTTTCGCCAAACTTTTGCACCACCAGCACACCCGCCTCCTAGTGAGGCGTCTATGGATACGACACAGCCAAAGATTGGAATAACGGAGAAGCGCCGCCCGCAGGATGTGCAGGACCGCCTGTTCACGGAGCCCGAGGCAGCCCGTGTGATGCGCGAGATCCGGCTGCGCGATCCCTCTTTCGACATGGTGGCTTTCCTCACGTCAGTGAAGGCCGACATACCCGCCATCATCACGGCCTACCTGGAAGGAAAAGAGGCCGTCCTGCGGCAGCACTGCACGCAAGAGATGTCGGAGCGCCTGGTCGGTATGTACAGGCACTACGAGGCCCAGGGCACACGGCAGGACCCCACCCTACTCTTCGTTTCAGACGTCGAGCTCTTCGACGCCACCTACGTGGAGCAGCAGCCCGTCGTCGTGGTCACGTTCTCCTGTCAGCAGATAAACTGCCTGAGGGACAAGTTCGGAAACGTTGTGGATGGGGGCGAGGACGAGATCCATCAGGTGTACTACGCGTGGGCGCTGCAGCAGGACGAGCAGGGGGCCTTCGGGCCCGGTGGCGGGCTGCTGCCGCCCAGGTGGCAGCTGCGGGAGATGATGATCAGGGGGTGCCACAATTTGTTGTAGACCGGCATGTGGATGCGTTTGGCCGTGTGCCAACGCATGATGGGATTGACGGGTTCTGACGCAGATGGAGCCGGGTGTTGCTTGGGAGTGGTTGGTGGTGAAACACAACATGGAATTGGATGTTGCACGATGGGATTGACTGCTGTTGAGGTCTGGTTTTGCATCCAGATGTGCGCCAGTGGAGCACACGTCCTGGCTGTAAATGATACCCAGTGATGGGCCGTGGGGGCTGACCTCAGCACTTCTTTGTCATTGCGTGGATTGTCGTCGGTCTGAATGGACGTCGCGTCGTTGCATTTCAGCGGCCCGGCCTGGCATTGCCTTGTAAGCTGATGGATGGGTGTGGTAGTCTGATTCTCCATAGTGAAGAAGCGCCACACAACAGGCACAGTGGTAGAGGTACCAGCATAGAACGAATGCGTTGTACCAACGTCGTGACATCAACATACTGTCGCTCGTGTCAAAATGGGATACAAGCACGCTGCAGACTGATATTTGTAGCCCACTTGCCCTGAACAGATCACCGGGCAGAAACTATTGTTGTCAAAAAACATGGAGCAGAGCAATGGGCGCAACGAGTTGCTACCTGTACTTCTGTAGCATTCGATCCATGGAACAAGTACCTGAAGAGCTGTTCTGGATAATAGTGTGTTCCTATTCGTTCTACACCGACGACATTAGAAGTACTAGAATTCTGGTATCAGTGGCTAACCTGACAATATGAATGCTGCAAATAATATTTACGGATGGGCACTGCTGCCCCTGGCCGATGGACTGTTTTTCGTTCCCGTCTCTCCGAAGACCAGACTGGCCCTGGAAGACGCCTTCTGGGAAGAATAAGCGAAAGCAGCGTATAGTAGTGCTCGAATTCCATTTCCTTCGCCATCAAGCTTCAGTCTCACTCTGCGCTGTCTCCACCAACGCATATGCATATATAAGGAAAACCCATTGGATTTAAACTGCTTTCGCCAGACCGTGTGGCTCCAGCCAGACTGGCGATCATTGATAACGAACGCAAATACGTCTGATAGGCCAAATTCACGTTGCTGTCGCCTCGAGGAGGAGCTGGGCATGCAACTAGGATCAAGAGCGCCCGGACACATAGCCCTGGCCAGTCGAGCCGAGCTTTGACTGACTCCTCTAGGACGTACCGCATGTTTAGGGAAGACGCTATGTCGATTTTGTTACGCTTGGCGTCAATGTGACGTTAAGCTCGGCCTGTACCCCCAGCAGCGCCAATCCTTATGTCGAAGCCAGGATGACTCAGCATTACGTAATGGTGTGGTGCCAACTTATATGTTTTGGAAAGCCAAAGGGAAGTTATGAGACAAGTCATAAGTTTACTGCCTCTTTTCAGCAGCTTTTTGGGTATTTTCCAAGCTTATGTCCATTTCGTTACAATTACATAATCTCTTAGCGTCACAGTTCTGGACCCACCCACCCACAACCATAAGCGTCAAAATGACGCTAAACGTGACAATTTCAACATAGTGTCTTCCCTTACAACGCGAGAGGCAGCACGTCGAATGGGCTGGGATGGTGAAAATCGGTCGCTTGGTCGTTATGTCTACCAAACACACACGGCAGCGCCACATGGAAGTGCGTGCTCGTTACAATTCAGAGCGCCAGAAGCGGTCAGCAACATATCCAGTCATAACAATTGCATCAGGCAAGATTGTACATGTACAACCTGGCACGTCCCAACATCCAGAAGCAGACGCATCCCTGGAGCTAAGCGCATTAACTCAAAATCTCCCCCACCCCGCCCAGCCACCCAGCCACACCTCCACCTCGCCTCCACACGTCAAGCAGCTCGACCCATCCTGTAAACTGCAAGGCCTTGCAAGGCAAATAGCCAATTGGCTATTTGACACCATCCGAAGGAGCTGATTCTCACGTTGTGCTCGGGATGGGCATGCTCAAGTCCGCCGCCAATGCAGCAGCTTCACGCACGCATCGCCAACAGCACATCATTCCAAGAGAATCCGTACATGCATTATATATCTTACTGTATGACGGTCTCAATGACTGTCCTCTGGGACTCACAGACCGCCGTTGGGTCGTCAACTACACTAGGTAAAAAGGGCCAAGTAACACGTGTTCAAACGTGTACAAAGTTTACGGGTTTGTGTCATTTTTGTGTTCTCAGCGTGCACAACTTTCATGAAATGTGTTTTATGTGTGTTCGCAAAAGTGTTATTTGACCCTTTTTTTCCTCGTGCAACTTTTAAAGGTTGCGCTGCGCACGTACGTCCTGATCGTCAGCGAAGCCCATTCTTGACGTATCGCCACCTAGTGACCCTTGATCGATCCGGCGCACTCCGAGGGGCTGAGCTCCAATGCCCGACTTCTGAATCAACATTGATGTTGGTACTGCGATATCGCAGGGGCGAGAGGGTTCCAGGCGCCTGAGAGCTACATTCCACGCTTGCAGTCGCATGTCCTCCTGTGTCCGCGGGCACATGGCCGTGTTCTAATGCAGTACCAGCGCTGAATCCATTAGCATTAAACATGCCGTGACTGGGTGACATCACGGAACGCTAGCCAGCTTTCGGCGTCAACCTTCGGCTGTAGCCGATGATTGACACTGATATCATTTGTGTATCTGCAGTAATCAAGAAATGGGGCTCTGTGCGGCTGTGCATGGCGCGAAACGCAGCGATAGCGCAGTTTCCTCTGTTCATGCTCAAAACTATCCCTATGTTCTGTTATCTATTGCTAAATTTGTCTTTTGTATCACGGGACAGCTTTCTTGACACATTCAGACTTCTGTAGCCTGGCGCTCCGTGCAAACTGCGCAACAGCGGATGAGCGAATCCCCGCTCCAATCCTCAGAAGCTCTGAGCCACAACGATGACGCCATTGGGCCTTCAGGACCTTGTTCTCGGCTCATGGTCCACCAACGGGGCCGCCAAGATCGTAGGACCCAAGGCCGGCGAGACGTCTGTGCAACGCGCTAGTCTCCCCACCCGTACTCACGTCACCCTGGTAGACCGTGGATTCTATGTGCAGCAGTGCGGCAGCCGCACCCTGGCGTGGGAACATGTTCCCACGTCAGCAATACCCGTACAGGTGTTGCTGGGCGGTCACTCAATTTGGCGTTACGTGGGGTTGACGTGCCCTGGCGCTATGCCAAGCACCTCGATATACTACTTCTCAAAAGTTCGCTGCCTCTGACCAGGTGCTCGTACCTTCACGGTCTCCCTCAATGATGGGATACAACTGCACGGTAACGAAAATCGAAACGCACCGATTTGTCGCGTTGGGCTATCGGTAGAATTGGGTTGTTCGATCCTGCGAGGTCGTGTGATGAAGTGGCTGCCAACTTGTCAGCTGGCCCGAGCATGCCCCGTACGGCACAGCACGCCTAGCAGGCGGCAATTGCCGCCAGCTAGCACCTAACCACACTCCTCCCGTCCAGTCGAATTCTCACAATCGGTAGCCCACTGGGCTGATCCCGCGGTGTTGCGGGCGGGGGAATCGGGCAGCGGTCCCAATCGGCGCGCCGTCTGCGATGCGCCCCATGGGGCGCAGAACGGCCATTCTGCTGACGCTGTGCGTGGTCCTCAGAGGGGCCTCAGCGACGGCCATCCATGCGGGTGCGCAACGAATGGCGCGGCGCCATGCATGCGGCAGCGGTTACTGTGGCAGGATCGCCGCCACGGGCGGCGGACGTCCCGTTCCGCCTCGGCGATCTCTGCCCACGTTGCCGTTGGAATTAGCAGTCCACATAGCGGGATTGCAAGGGACTGTCGGCTGCTGCTCGTCGTCTGGAAAGTTATTAGCCTTTGTTGTCAGTAGAGAGGGCCGGAAGCCGCCCCAGACCCACCCACCCCACCCCCGTGGCTCTGGCCGCGCCAGCTCGCGACCCTCGCAGTTGCCGCATTGTGGAGCTCGCCCCTTGATTGCCGCAGGATGGAGGGGCAAGCGGCCAAACGAAGCGCGGGGTATGGTCACCTTCCGCATCTAAACGTTCTGTTTGCCACCAGGACACCCAGGCGACCTGCCTTTGCTGCAGCCGTCGCCGCTGCTCCCCCGCCCCGGCACTTTTGCCCCAAACGGCGTCCAGTCTTCGGGCTCCTCCCCAGGCCTGGCGCGGCGAGGCACCAATCGGCGCTTGAGCGCCCTCTCGGCCGATTCTGGGCCCACCGCCGGAGGTACGGACGTTGGCCTGGAAGCCATCGGGTCCGTGAACGGCTCCGGGGTGCAGAAGATGGAGGGGGCGCTCTCGAGCGACGAGCCGCCGTCCCTGTGGAGCGCCGCGTTCCGCGGCAGGGAGGACGCCGTGGAGGAGTTTGTCGAAGGCGGCGCGGACGTGAACCAGAGGAACCGCAACGGGACGACGCCCCTCTACGTCGCCGCCCAGAACGGCCACGCAGCCGTCGTGGAGCGCCTTCTGGCAGCAGGTGCGCCGGCCGGTGGTCGCTGCCGGGCCCGTTTCTGGGGCGCTGGCCGTACGGCCTCGCACGCGTGCGCGGTTGAAGGGTGTGCCCTCGGGGTGCGTTGTGGGCTTGAATCCATGAGGATGTTGGGATTGCAGGCGTGAATGCAGTCGGGGCCTGCGGGCAACCAACAGCGCGTGCCAGAGGTTGCCTTTAGCAGAACGGATTTCGAAGCAGGGGAGCCAGCTCTGCTCCATGTTTCCTTTTTCCCTTGGGACGCCTGAGCGCATTGTCAGCAGTTTCTTCCCTTAAGCAACGGAAAGATCATGGGCATACTCGGGAAGATTGCCCAGAAGGAACGCTGTTCTGAATGCCACGGCCTCAAATCATCATGTAAGGAACGGAGGGCACATCGATTGGGATAGCAAACCGACGTGTTACTTTTGCAGATGCGCTATTGTGAATATATTTTGTGCCATAGCCATACATACAGTTTAGGGGCCACACGCACACGCACACGCACACGCACACGCACACGCACACGCACACGCACACGCACACGCACACGCACACGCACACGCACACGCACACGCACACGCACACGCACGCGCACACACGCACGCACGCGCACAGCTCTCGTCCTGAAGCATTTGCTTGCCCTGCTGCATCCCAGGTGCCGAGGTGAATGCAAAATCTAAAGCAGGGTCCACGCCCCTGCTGGTGGCAGCGCACAACAATCATGTCAACATCGTCAAACTACTCTTGGAAAATGGAGCCTTTCCTAATAGCAGGACTGTGCAGACTGGACAGACTGCACTGTGGCAAGCATCATACCTGGGGTTCCTGGAGGTAAGCTACAGATTCCCTGCATAGGTACGTACAGAAAAGGGCTGTTCCATTCAGTAGATGCACACACGGAATAGCGAGACAGGAAGGGTGAGCTCTGCCAGTGATATTTTTGGAATGACCCAACATTCTACTTTGCTCTGTGTGCATGGAGTACCTGTAAATTATTATGGCAATACAGGTGCAAAAATAGCAAACTGCGAAGATTGTGAGGCTGTCAGCTCCGAATTTCCATCTGCTTCTGCATTCGCCACACTGGATACCGTGCACAACATTCCTCTGTGAGAGAATTTTGCAGAGTTGGCAAGGTGCGATTAAGCACTGGTCTGAGCATGCACATCAGCGAAAGACCTGTGTCAGGATGCACTTTCTTTCATGTACACAGTCCACATTCACACGGCAACCGGCACAGCCCCTTTCTGTATGACAGCGCTGCGCACAAAATTGCCTTGTAACAAGGCAACCAACACAGAGACACACAAAAGAGTTTTGGTTTTCTTGTTCACGTTCAGGTGGTGCAGACACTCCTGGACGGTGGCGCAGGTGTGGACTTGCCATCAACTTCGAAAGGCGCGACGCCTCTGTACGCCGCAGTCAACAGGGGCCACATAGAGGTCCTTTCGATCCTCATTGATGCGGGGGCTTCTGTAACCACCCCGCTCACGAACGGCGTCACCCCCCTCCATATGGCCAGCGCGCTCCTGCGCCCTGATATGGTGGAGCTCCTGCTGATGAATGGTGCGGATCCTTCAGCACTGGATGCCGATGGCGACACTGCCGCAGATGTGGTTGGCGTGGCCAGTCCCGGACGTAACGACTCCCTGAGGGCTGGGATATTGAAGCTGTTGGAGCCAAGCGATTCGGTGACAACGTCGGGGAGCGAGCCGTCACCGCAGGGGACGGTTGCCATGGCTGGAAACGGCAGTGGGAGCAAACGCCTGTCCGCAGTGATGGTGCTCGTTCCAGTACTGGCTGGACTGATCTTTATCGTGGCCTTGACGTCCGCCCTGCGCCTGCGCAGCTGGTCGCACTCCAGGGTCGACCGCGCCGAGCTGGACCCCCACGTGAGGCTAAACGACCTGCTGAGCAAGGGGCTTTCCGGCAAGAGGGCGCCGTTGGAATTTGGCCCAGAATACAACAGCTCCAGCATGGATTCATGCCACGCAGCTGTGGACGGCCATTGGGACGAGTCGCAAGATTCGCGTGACGCTGCACTGATGCCCAGGAGAGCTGGGGGCCCGAGAGGAAGGACAGGGGGCAGCCGTCGGTCCAAGGGGCAGTCTTCAATGCTTTCGAGCCCGACGTATTCCAGCGACGACAGCAAGGCGCTGTGGGATACATTCATGACCAGCACGAGGGGCGTTACCGTCAACAGCCCAGCATACAAGCTGTAGGGCAGCTGCTCTGGTGGGGGGACTGTGGAGCCGCGGCGACGCATGTACAAAAGCAGGGGTGCATATTGGAGATCTTTAACTTGGAGGTGCAGCTGAGTCTGGCCGTCGTGAGTAGATTAGTGGTTGGGCGCAAGGTACCATCGTGACTTGTGCTGCGGCGCAGAGCACTTAGTCTAATGGCAGATTGCAACAATACCTCTGCATTCAACGACTGGTGGGTCTGTCAACCGTGGTGTGAATGTCACAACTATTAAATATCAGCTTCAGACACAGGTTATGGCGGGCACATGCACATTAGCTACTTGTCTGTGTTTGGGAAGACAAGGGCTGGGTGGCTTCCCCTTGAAATGGATTTTGCAGCACAGCACATATTCGCTGGCCGTGGTGGTTGGCGGGCTATGTGCTGAATGCGATTAAAGTTGCCTGAGCTGGGAGTCGTCCAGATTTCTGAAGATCTCTGGAGATAGATGAGCATCTTTGCCAGCAAACCAGTGGCTTCAAGAGCAAGACTGGCGGTCGGCCATCATTTCTCTGCTGTCATTGCATTAATATTGAGACACGCCGTTGCATGGCTGTCTGAGAGATGTGGTACTGCTCTAGCTTTGTGCGGATACGTCCATGCCTTTCATGGTGTCAGAGATGGACGGCCAAGCTCAGTGTGTATATCAGACTTAATAAGCAAACGGTGTGTTTGAATAATTGGAGTACCACCTCCAATTTGAGAAGGATTTTAAAACTTCAGCGTGTCAGGAAGCAGCGGTGGTGATTCGGCGCGTGCACAGTTGGCAATAGTTGGAGGCCCCGCTCGGGGTTGCTTCCATCTCCGAATACCCAAGCAGACAACAAACGCTGACTCACTCAATTGTGCCGTGCAGAATTCCATTGTGGCGAGCTCACCACAATCGACGCATCGTCTGACCACCACAGCGTATGCCTCATGAGGCATCTGGAAATCTGATCAGTTTTCCATCGTGCGTTATGAAACTCGCAAAGTCACTGCATAGGAATTTTTGCATTCACAACATTTGTGTGCTCGCTGAGTTAACTGGCACGTACATATGTGTAATCTAAGGATCTCACTGTGCATCCTAGCTCCACAATACTTGAATGCCGAAGTACTGAACGAGGATTCGAGGACAGCAGTACCACTTGTTTAAAGCCAGACCATGCCAAACCAAGAGTGTGTACTTGAACAAGGCCGCAATCCAGCGTTCTGTTTTGTGGTCAACCATTGGAAACGCTTCCAATGGTTGAATCAGTCGTCGACATGACAGTTCACTTGAGTGAGCGTTGCCATGCGATTTGTACCCAAACGTAGTTCCCTGACAGCATTGCAGTGGGAGCCGGTTCCTGCCATCAAAATGGAACAAGAATGGCCAGCCCTCGACTGCCATACATTGGGAAGTTGGCACTTACCATGTGGACAGTGGACAGTGAACAGTCCACAGTGGACAATCCACGGTGGACAGATAGTATACCAATTGCCAATCCGCAAATTGGAAATCACGTTATAGATGGATTTCCAATTGGTACACTCCCTAATGGACATCATAGAAGCTCACAATTACATTGCAGTGCAAGAGACAGCCGGCGAATGCAAAGCTTGATTTAAATCAAGCAAATTTGCTTGCAAACCGGATTCACAATTGGGAAGTTGCAACTTGTAAGTTGGAGCCCGAGTGGGACACTTGGAAACAAGAGGCGATTAGCAGGGCAATTGCGCTTGTCTGGGAAGGCTCACATCCGACAGTGCATGCACAGAATACGAAAAGCCAAAAGACATGTTCAAGGTCTCGAAATCAGAGCCAACGCACTGACGCCTCCCAGAGAAATTTCACAGAAACACGCAAGAAAACTTTAATCTTTCTTTCAAAGGGACGTTTTCAGTGTGCATTGCGCACGCAGGCGTGTTCAACTGTCGCAGCGCCCCGCAGGGGTGCATTAAAATGTTCATACCCTGATGTTGGAATGCACCAGTGAGCGAATACCGTGAAATCAATTGCCTTGTAGAGGTCGCTATTAGTCACTCACCAAAGACATAGAGTTGGAAGGTAGAGGTGTGCCGCGCCATCCTGCGGTGAGTGGCACAATGTCCAGGGCCGACTTTCGAGCTAGGTAAACTGGTTGGAGACGTTCTGCTGCAACCCAGCCAATCGGAGACAGAATTTTCGCAGGGCCAGGATTATGCATCATAGATCATGGAGGATAGCGCGGTGGAGTATGCACTATTGAACTGGAATCCAAAGTGTCTACCACCAAAGAGGCGGTCTTTAAAGTCATTTTTGAAGGGATATTCAACTCTAAGCATCGAGTCGACAGATTGAATTTATGATTGGAGAGGAAGCAGTGCACCTAAGGGTAGATCACTTTTGCTAGCTGTGGAGCATGGAACCCCATGTTTGTGTAGCAGAAACAACCATCCTTTGCACCTGGCCCCTGCATGAGATTGTTGTTTGGTCAAACCCGGCTGTCCATTACCCCACCACCAACTTCACACAGCACTCCAGTCCGCAAAGTAAAAAATTCGTCACTTAATATTGGATCCCTGGCTTGCATACCATGCAAGCACAAAAAGTTGGCTTCATCGACAAATGGTTCCTAGCAGGGATGCTGGACACCCTTGTCTTGCCCTTTTGGATGTTGGGGAAGTCCAATAAGGAATGTCCCAATCCCTTCTTCCTATCCAAGGAGGAAATTTAAAAATGTGCATTAAAAAAAGCTCTATGGATGCAATGTTGCGGTCTTTGAACGGCTGGACACCATCTTGAGAGCAAGACAATATTACAGTGTACGGATCGGCAAATATAAGTTTATCTTCCATCATAGAAGCCCACACATCTGTGTCATAAATATCATGTATCTCCCCATCTGAAGGTGTTGAGCGATTTTTTGGGTAGCAGAACAACTTGACCAGAATGTTGGATCACAAACTTTTCTCAATAGCTCAGAGGTACTATTGTAGTAGAAACAATAGTCTTTGCTATTTTGTGATTTTTTTGTTCCACATCAAAGGCACATTTAGGATATGGCAGCATTGCATTTAGATAGGTGCTACATACTGGCTTGGGGCAAACATCATAATAGAACGATCCAATTTCAACGACCTGCCTAATTCTTGTCATCCTATCCGAATGGCCGTCTGGCAATAAGCTTTGCACATCCGAGCGGATGGCACTGCACATCTTCAACATTGTTGTTAAGTCTCACAACACATCCTACAGAGCCCCACTTGGCTTGAAGAGCAAACACATTGAACATCAAATCTAAAGCCCACTTCTCTACTTGACTTGTTGCAATGTCAATGTGTCCCTGTTCATTACCGGCACAACATCGAGCCTCAACTCTATCATTTATTGGCAGCCTAGCTTCGGAATATTTGTTCCTTTACAATGAACAAATGTTCATATTGCAATCATCATCACATGTTCCAGATGCATCCGACATGTGAACTGAATTTGTATCTATGTGTACACAACTTGTTCCCGCACCTGAGTTGGGCACATCTGCTATGTCTTCAAAAATATCACCATCATCAATATCCGTACCCAAAATCCCTGCATTAGCATCCTCACGCCTATCACCCAGACCCACCATGGTTTGTCTGAGTGCTTATCACTCGCTTGCACTTCCACTACCTCTAGTTGCACTCCTTACGACTGCATCTTAGGCTCAATGAGTGGCTCCCATTTGTGTGAGGATAACAAGAACATCAGTGGGATGTATTAGCACGATGGTCTATTGAGGTTTGTGCCTGCGATGGTTGGCAATTGCACTTGTACTGAATAAATTCCCCATGATAATGTGTTGGAGGATGTTCACATCTGTTGGGCTGACTTTGGAAAATAATATGCCCTAAAGCATAAATGTCTTGACCTAGATAGTTGACACGCTTGAATGTGCAGTTTAGCAAAGACATCTATGTATCTTGTCCTTATGAGGCGCCTACCATTTTGACGTTTGTAAGCACTGCAAGGACTATAACAATATTGAATGAATGATTGCCATAGTTAGGTTGAAGCAATTTTCAACACAATTTGTATGCGTAGTGCTTGCGCACTTGATGTTCTGGGCATTGTTGAGTTGTTATGGATACCCCACTTGGGGACCAAAAATCTATTGATATTCATGTGCCATCACTTTTTGCATCCTTTGTCCTAATTGTATTATGTTGTTTTTGCTAGGTGCAACGAATCAACCTCCATACTCCCCGATGGAGGATTGGCGTGTTGTTCAGAATTCTATTGCACTGGGCAGGAACAATATTCTGAGTCCCTGCCCTTTGGATGGGACATGGATGGTAGGAAATTAAGTCCAACATCAGTATGTGTATTACTTTGTATTTGGTTCCTTACTTCCTCCGTCCAAGAATAATTGTCCTCTATGATTATGGGGCACGACTTCTCCATTGTACTTACATCAATTGTTGATAAAATTTTGCCCAAAGTTGTGTTTGTAAGTCTAGAGCATACTATCAAAATTTCTTTTGGATTCCCTATAGGTCCTTGGTTTCACTTTGTAGAAAGCTATCTGTTGTAGGGCAAAGGCATGTATTTACCAATTGGATTGAATTGACTTAATTCTGGGTTGGGGAATGGACACATGTGGTTAGTTCGGGTCTGATTTGGTGTTGCATACCACAGAGTGTGGGGACAATGATTATGGAATGAAATGGGGGTTAAGTGTAGTTTACATGTTATAGATATTTTGCATTGCACTATAACTTTAGGAGTTCATTTCAGAACTTCTTTTATATTTCCATTAGAAGTGGGGTCTAGTTATATGACATTGTACTTGGAGAAAATTTGGTTTTGGTGAAGGGTGTGAGCTACATTCGAATGTAGCTGAATAATCTAACTAAATGATATAGCTAAGTGATCGTGCTTAATTTAATGTAGCTAAATTAATCATCATCAAGGAGTCATAGATAATAAGGCAAGTTTATGACTTCATAAGTTATATTTATTGTGTCCAGTGTAGGGAGTCGCCTATTCTAAGGTGGC